TTTTAAATTCAAATCAATGATTAGTGAGAGAAACTATGTGAGCTTCTCTCATTTTCTTCCTTATTGTGATCAATTAATGTATGCAAATCACATTTAACCTAAAGAGTTAAAAATTTAAGACATATTAGCTTTCTGTTAAATGAAATACCAGTTGAAAATCATGTTCTTAATGCCTTTAAATTACCTATCTCACTAAATGTCTCTTCTTTTATTTTTTTCCCTCAAACAGGGGATCGAACATCTGAATCCCATTCTAGCAGCTGTACTCAACTTTCACTAACCTTTGAAACTGTGGTTATGGAGTAGAAGAGGGTTTCATTACGCCATGTGTTAGTAGGAACCCTTCTAGGTATAAGTGGTAGAAAGTCAACTCAAACTGTTTTTTAAAAGCAGGAAGTGGTAGTGGTGGGAATTAATGGCTTATGTAACTGGGTTTGATACTATACTGTGGCCACGGGGCTGAACTTTAGGAACAAAAGATTCACTCCCCTGCTGTCAGCACCTATAGCACCCATTGTCTCAGTGAAGACGGCCATCTTGTCCAAGAGCATTCAGAGTCATTGCAGCTTCAGATCTCCCCACACGGTTGCTGAGGCCTTACCGTGACCACACACTGATCATTCAATTTCCCCTTCTGCCCACTCCTGCTTTCTTATTTTTTCTTCCTTTCCATAGATGTTTACCTCCAAAGGCACTTTCTTTTTTAAATTAATTAATTAATTAATTAATTAATTTATTTATTTTTAAGATTTTATTTATTTATTTGAGAGAGAGAATGAGAGACAGAGAGCATGAGAGGGAGGAGGGTCAGAGGGAGAAGCAGACTCCCTGCTGAGCAGGGAGCCCGTTGCGGGACTCGATCCCAGGACTCCAGGATCATGACCTGAGCCGAAGGCAGTCGCTTAACCAACTGAGCCACCCAGGCGCCCCAAAGGCACTTTCTAATAAAAGTCCCAAACGCTAATCTCCAGCCTAGAAAACCCAGTCTATAGGAATAACTAAGATGTCCAAGTGTCTCAGGCAGATCAGACCTGAGAATTCAAACATTGTCATCGTATCTGTCTCCAAACCTCTCCAGCCTTCCCTAGCTTCTGATTTGATTTTGTGTTGGCATTCTTACGCAACTTCTTAGCACAAGATAATAGAGTCTATGGCAACTGCCAGCACCAAGATAGAAAAGCTTCACCCTCTGTACTCCAGAGTCCCTAATGACTCCTCCCTCAGGCAAAGAACTCTAAATGGCCTTCTTTGGGACGAGTGCACACCCCTGGGACAAATACTGTGTCCAGGGAGATGAAGTCCCCTCACTGGTCATACTTAGGCAAAGAAAGTGGAGCCACATAACTCATAGAAACATAGAGTGGGAGCATGGCAGTTCTTGAAAGAACAGCACACACAGCAGAGAAAAAAGGAACAGAAATCAAGGCGCCTGGGTGGCTCAGTCGGTTAAACATCGGACTTTGGCTCAGGTCATGATCTCAGAGTTGTGAGACCGAGCCCCACATCTAGCTCCCCACTGGGCGTCCAACCTGCTTAAGACTCTCTCTCTCCGTCTCCCTCTGCCCCTCCCCACCCTGTGCTCACCACCCCTGCCACCCGCTCTGTGCACATGTGCGCGCTCACTCTCAAAAAAAAAAGGGAACAGAAATCCATTTCTCCTCATCACCAGGAACAAAACACATTGGGAAACACATCTCTTCTTCAGCAATTTCACACCTACTTCTGGGAATAAATTAGAAGCCCAATTTAATTTGAAAAATCAAGAAGGAGTTATACCTTTCCTTGGGATGCACCGTCAGGGAATTTCCTGGAGACTTGGGTCTGCTTATTTCGTCTTTTTTCTCAGCCAGAAGTGTCTAGGATTTCAATCACATCTGAGGGTGTTACTCATGACTGCTTACTGGGAGGATGAGTACTGCGTTCTATTCGCCACAGTCTGGCTTGACACCAAGAGCTTAGGAAACAGTGGAAGCCAAAGTGGCTGGGAGAAGATACAGAGATTCAATTTTCTTTATTCTCCATGTCCAGTCAATCCCAGTCAACCATTACTTGTTGCTTTTTTATCAAACCCTCTGTCTTTCCAAGAGCGGTGCACATTACAATGTACTTGAACAGTGTTCTCAAAAGGGAAAGTACTTTCCATAAAAGAAAGCTTTTACTTTTTTTTTTTTTTTTTTTGCAACTGATCTCTCTTCTTCCAGCTGTGAAACTGATTGAGGTCCTTAAGGCTCTCAAGAAATCTCTACTCACAGCCCTGTGATTACTTTTACAAGGGGGGACAAAAGCCATGGGAGGGAATGCTTGATTATCCACGGAAAATATTCTTTCTCTTTTGCATTTTCTCACAACTCATGGACGGAGGGGAAGAGAGTTGGAAAACGTTCAAGAAACAGGTTTATGTGAAACAAAGAGCATTATTTCTTAGTATATGAATATTCATGCTCCCCTTAGCATTGCCTCCCCAGCAGAGCACAGGCATCAGGAGGTCAGTGAGAAAATGTGGGAGAGGCTTGAAGATTCCGATGGGATAAAGGAAGATGAAGCAGCAGGCTGGGGGAAGAGAAGAGGGGGACCAGTGGAGAGGAGAAGATTTTGAAAAGTTTCACTGAGCTTGATGGAGCCGCCGTTTGCAGTACCCGCCCCTGACCCCCCACCCCTGTGGAGGAGCCTGAGCCGGGCAGAGACAGGGAGAGCAGATGTTTAAGCTGGTTTATTCCTCCTTGCCTCACTTCTTTAATTACATGAGAAAATGAGTACATGCCTCAATTACATTTTGTGTATCAGGCAAAGTCCAGTCTGAAAAACAAACTACATTTTATTTTATTTTATTTTATTTTTAAAGATTTTATTTATTTGCGAGAGAGAGAGAGAGAGAGAGAGAGAGAGAGTGTACAAGCAGGGGGGCAGGGGCAGTGGGAGAGGGAGAAGCAGGGAGCCGGATGTGGGGCTCGATCCCAGGACCCCAGGATCATGACCTGAACTGAAGGCAGACGCTTCACCGACTGAGCCCCCTGGGCGCCCCCAAAGCACCACATTTTAACACAGTGAATTTCATACTAGGAATTTGTTGTATGGCTGACGGGAAAGTGCAGAATCCCCACATGGTTGTGGAGGCAACATAAAGATGAACAACTACAGGAAGTGGTTACCACCCTCGGGGTTGGAGGGACACCGGAAGGAGGTGATATAGCTCAAGCCCAGAAGGCAGGGCCATCTGGTAGGGGCCAGAACTCCGGCGGCAGCGATGGTCAGCAGGAGCTCAAGCTCGAGAAGGAAAGGCTGACTGGTAGGAGCTGGAGCCTTCGTGGAAATGCAACCGCTTCCGAGATGCCACTTGAAGCAGAGAGCTGGGGGGAGAAACACCCTGGCTTCTCTCCTGCCCCTCATCCTCCTGTTGGGCTGACCACACCAGAAGCCAGAGGGCCAAGGAGCCTGGCAAATGCAATTCTCCCTGAAACGGAGCAGAGCAAGGAAAGGGTGGGGAGTAGATCTCAGTGCAAAGAGGCAAATAATGGGCACATGTTTTCATTGTCTAACTGTGTTTCTTTGAATTCACCTCTGTGTGGAATGGAACCGTGAAGCTGTCTGTCCTTTACGTGGGTTACTCATGATCCAAGAGCAATGGAGAAGGTCACGGTTTAATACCTTTCCTTAAATATTAAGTGCAAAATAGTATTACTTTGCCAATTGTCCTAATTCTGTAGGCTGTCTCAAGTGGTTCATAAATAAACAACAACCAAAACGGTCCATGCTTCTCCTCTTGTTGATTCTCTCATTCCCATTTGGCCCTGCTAGTTCTGCTTTTACCTCTTCGTTACCTATAGCTGTTGTACAACCACCCTTGTGTAATTTGTCAGCTTTCATCTCATACTGGGGTTACCATCCTACCCTTCTGTAGGTTACCTCCTACCCTTTCATGTCCTGAAGACAGAGTAGTAGTCAGGAAAAAAAAAAATATGCTAAATCTGGCTTTTGGCATCAGCCACATCTGATATACCTTTGTTTTGACCCTGTGTACATACCTAGCCTAAAGGATGTCATGTCTTCCTAGGAATACTATAGTCATCCAAACATTTTGCTGTATTTGTTATATTTTTATTTCCTGTAGTTGTATTTGGAGTGATTTTGGATGGGGTTGACACAGTTAGGCCTTTTTTTTTTTTTTTTTTTTCCCTGGCATCTGGTTAGAAGTATAGCCAAAGTACTTGGATTTCAAATCCCAACTTTACTATTTCCTAATTGCATGACCGTGGCCAAGTAACGTAAGTGTTCTGGGTCTCAATTTCCTCATCTGTAAGTGTAATCATAGTAGTAGAAACTACTTTAGGGGCGCCTGGCTGGCTCAGTCGGTAGAGCATGTGACTCTTGATCTCGGGGTTGTGAGTTCAAGCCCCACATTGGATGTAAAGATTATTTAAAAATAAAATCTTTATGAATCGCTGAATTCTACTCCAGAAACGAATATTGCACTGTATGTTAACTAACAAAATTTAAATAAAAAATCAAAAAACCTTCTAAAAAAACTACTTTATAAGGGTTGAATTGTTAGAATCAAGTGAATTTATTTGTATACTGAATTTAATATATGTGTGTGTATGTGTTTACACAGACATATATGTATCAATTCTTAGATAAATATATATGTATGCACACACACATATGTATCTTAGAAAATTGGCACGATGTAAGCATGCTATAAATATCAACCATCATTATTGTTATTGTTCTTCTCAACAAGACTAAAATGCTGCTCAGCCTGTCAAAAGATATTTAATGATTTTTATCCAGCACGAAGTCATGGCTAGTTGAGTGACTTTTTACAAATTGCTATTTAGTAACTGATCAGTCAAAAAGTCAAGTCCATGTGTCAAATATATCCCATCATTGGACTGTTACTTGTCTCTCAGTTGTAGAAATTGGTTTCATTTCCTACTATGGTTAGTTATGATTAGATTATTACAGACCCTTTTTCTGCAGCTTTTTGTGGTTTAAAGATTTAAGGTTCTTATGGAAACAAGATTTTCAGTTGACCGATGATTAGCTAATTTCTGATAATAGAAAAGGAAACTGATTGCCCCAGGCTGCTGTTTTCATTTCCTCATGGGAAGAAGAAGCAGAGCAGAGAAGAAAAGCAGACACAAGGCATTGAACCTCCATCACCATGGGGAACTGGATTGAGAATGAGGGGCTCTCCATCTTTGTCGTTGTAAGTTCTCGAACTTGTCTGGGTTCTCCGGGAAACTAAAATAGGGCAAAACTTTTGTTTGTTTGTTTTGTTTCTTTAAGAAATTGTATTGAAACTGATTTACTGTGTGAACATACGTCTATCTGTAAACGGGACTGAGTGCACTCTTCCAAACTTATTAATGAAAAGAATGTATCTGGGGGCTCACTTCACCTACTCTATTTCTTGACTCTTTGGGAGTACTAAATCAGCCAGCATTTTGCAGAGGGGGTAGAAGACATTTCATGCTAATGATCTCCGAGTCTAAGTTGTTTATCAATATTTACTCAGAGGTAAATTCTCTACTTTTTATGTGCTTATTCCATTTAAAAATCGGCAATCCTAATTTTACACCATTTTCCAAATAACAGGTACAAAATTGGCTCATGTATGGGAAATGGCCTTTATTTCAGTGATTACAGCAAAAATAATTGAAGTTCTCAACTTTCTTTTTTAAAAAGTACTTTTTTTTTCCTCTGAGGTAAATTTGAGTTGTTTATGAGGTTTATAAAAATTCAAGGAAGGAAATTGAAATAAACTAGACTCATATATACAGTGGATATATTATATACATTATATATGACTATATATATAAATCAATCTAATCTATCTTGAGAAACAATTTTTGTAAGTAAAGATAGGGCTAATTTTCAAATAGATGTGTTAATCTCTTTAGTTTTTTACCATAACAAGGACCAACTATTAATTTAAGATGGCAGTCTCAGCAAAGCAATCATGGACAATTGGGAGGATAGAAATGTGATTTATAAATAACCTTTCCAAATAGCCAATGAAAGTATTGTACTGATGTTAAAAAGAACACCTATGAGTGGGGAATTTTTGAAAGAATTTATCATGAGGTCAAATTGAGTCTTAGAGTTGTAGACACAGAGAGGAATTGGGGGCGCAAATAAAAGAAAAATAAGAAATATTGTGTCATTAAAAAATTATGCCAAACCAACATTCTAATGCAACATAGAATACTGTTAACTTGATTTCTTACCACCATTTTGAAAACAGATTACTCCTATAGAAAACAAGTTCATATTATACTTTTGGCTCCTAGCACAGTTTTCCCCAGGAGATGACCTCCTCCTAAATTGCACACTCATATGCTTGACAGTAAAGACACAGTCTGGAAAGCAAGAGTAAGAATGACAAGGTTAGGGAATGGAGAAGTTGTTTTAATACCTTCTTCATAAAGAGATCGTTCTCAAGCACCTATGGACCTTTAATGGCGTTAAAGCACAAGTAAGAAAAGATCTTGATGTATGTGGTCAGTGCTTGGGATGAAATGAGCAGTCAAAAGGTAGAAGGGTCGCTTTTAAAAAAAATCCCCTGCCCCTCACCCCCTCATTCATGTTCAATAGTCCCTCTTTCAAACGTTAAGCAAAAGTTCCCAAATAGAATTAAAGGCTTGACGTTTTAGCTGATGTGACTCCCACTGGCTGGGGTGGGGTGCTGTGTGCTGGAGGAAGGTGACGGCACCCGTGAGACTAGAACACAGTGTCTTATTGGTGCGGGGGACCGTATAGTCACCTATTCCTTTCCCCTCTCTTTTCGAGAAGACTCACCTGCTACTAGTTAAGAAGAAAACAACAGAGGGGAGGGAGATTGTTAATGACCTGGCATCCTGGCCAGCAGTAGAACAATCATGGGGAACAACGCAAGGTGGACATGTCAATCACGAAGTGTAGTGGCACTGTTGTAGGCAAGAGCTGACTTGCAGCTGGTTACACCCAGATGTGTAACCACCTTTGTTGAAGGCTAGACTGGGGAAGTCCTGACCCTAGTCTGACTCCAATCTTGTCTGAAATCTACCGATTGAAATGTGGAAACTTCATGCAACTATTTCTCTTTTTGCAGCTGGTGTGGCTGGGGATGAACGTCTTCCTCTTTATCCATTTCTATGGGATATATTTCTCTAGACCTCAGTTCTATTACACTCGAAAACTTCTTGGGGTAAGTATAAGTTCCATCTCATGCAATATTGACTGGCTTACATTTCTAATCAAAGATTCTGGTTCATATTCCTTTCAACACTTTAAATAAATCTTCTGACCAACCCAAACGGCACCATTAGCCTCGCTCCCTCCCTTGCAACCCCCTGGGCAAGAGTCTTTAGGCCTTCCAGTGTGAGATAAACTAAAGTGTGTCAGGGAGTCCCAGCGGCATCCCTCCCATGCCAAGAACTACTGTGCCACTGTTTAGCTTAAAGAAGACATCTAATGCGAACCCTGGAATTGCAGGCAAAGTTGGAGATTGATCCAAGGGTGACACAAGTGGGACAAGTGAGACTTCCCGTATTCTTTAAAGCATGTGATTCCTGATAACTTTTGTGAATGGAGAGCTCTGCTCCCAGGGACATGTAGTGAAATGACCTTCAGGAAATAAGCCTCTCCCTCAGATGGAGCCTTTGAGGAACTTGCCCAAGGGTCATATTCATTGACTAGGCCAGCAGAGTGAAGGCCCCCAACTTTCCCTGGATCCATTAGCATTCTTGATTTCCTTGAGCTGCCAGGACTCTGCTTCATGACAAATGAGAATAATTACAATGACAGCCGCCCCCACAGGATACCATTTGTTACATCATGCTGAAACCGTGAATTCATGACTTAACACTAATTATAATAGGTATCATATATCATCTGTATAAATAATTATAATACGTAATAATACTGCACTATTATAATTGTTGTTAACTAATTCCGGCTGATACTGAGAAGGGTGATTTCCCTCTGCTTTCCCCTCCATAATATGCAACTTCTTTAGGCATTACAAAGAACAATTATAATGCCAAAGCATTACACGAGACCAACTTAAGTTACTGCTGAAGTGAGTCTGAGAATTAAGAAAATCTTCTTTAGAAAGCCCCAGTTTCTATACTGAACTCTAATTAATGATACACATGCTTAAGTATTTAGGATGGAAGTGAACTGATGCCTGCAATGCATCAAAAATAAGATGTATCTATGGATGGCTAGAGGGATGGGTAGATGGATGGGCAGCTATGTGATGGTGGAACCTGGGAGATGGGAAAACAGGTGTTCATTGTGACATTATTTCAAATTCTCTTTACGTTTGAAAATTTTCATAGTAAAATGTTGGGTTGGGAGAGAAGGGCCAAATTAAAACAAAGGATCCCAGCAGGCCCTCCAGGTAGACTCTCAGTTCTGAAGGATCTTCCTTCTCAGATAACTTGACGTCTCTGGGGGGCCTCATGCTGGGAACCCTGGAGAAGTGGTGGAAGGGTGTTCTGTGCTCATAGGAATTACCTGCTTCCTATCCCACATCTTCCAGTTTGCGCTGCCATTGGCCAGGGCCCCTGCAGCCTGCCTGAATTTCAACTGCATGCTGATTCTGCTGCCAGTCTGTCGAAATCTGCTCTCCTTCCTCAGGGGTTCCAGCGCGGTAAGAGCAAACATTTATAAAGCTGACGCTTCTCAAAATTTTCAAAGGACATCACACTAAATGTCCTTTCTAAGGAAAAGTGGACTAATGGAGTGTGAGGATTCCAACCTCTGTCCAATATTCACAAGCCAAGGGATGCCTGATTCTCCATTTTATTTGCATATTAGTTGTTGATGGAGCTCCCTGAGACAACTGTTTAACTTGGAACAGACATTTAAAAAAAAAAACCAAAAAACCAAAAAAACAATCAACCTACACCTCAAGAAGAGCCATAAAACACTTGTGCGTGTGCATGCGCACGCGCCCACACACACACGCCAGACATACATAATATAATATATTATGGACTTTATGAGGCTGACATGGGATTTGGGAATTAATCCTACAGTGCCATGTTTTTCAAAATTTTTAAGTCAGAGAAAATTCTCTTCGTGGCTAACATCCCAAGCAGGTGGAATCAAGGAGCGATGAGTCACAGTATAATGACGGTAACTAAGAGGTATTGAGTCCGTGGAATTGAGGAGTTCAGAGATTTCTAAATGCCCAGGGCGGTTTTTTTAACCCTCATTTCAACAATTTGGTGAGCCCCTAAATGTACTCTGCTAGAAGAAAAAAAAGATTATATAAGAAACTTTGTAACCTAGGGTATATGAATTTCTTATTGTTGTTATCATACAAAGATGAAAAACAAGGAATTTAGAATCTACTTAGATCTATGTACTCAAATAAATATGATAAAGCAAAATCTGATGGGTCCCGCAGAACATTAGAAATAAGGGGCTATGGGGAGAATCAAAGAAGGAGGGATTGGGAATGAAGGTGGGGCAGGGAATGAAGAAAGGCTTCTTCGAAATATGGGCATGTAAGGATCAAACAAGCCACTAGGAGATGTAAATAAGAGAGAAAGACATTCTACATGGAGAAAATGGAATGGGCCAACGCAAAGAAGATAGTAAGGAAATGACATTCTTGAAAGCCCCTTAGGAGCATGACACTTGGCTTCTGTTGGGATTTGTTTGCAGTTCCTGATCCCACCCAAGAGGGTAGCTTGGAAAAGTTAGGGATTGATGTCTTGGTGAGACCCATTCTACTGGATCATGAGTAACGACTAGCGTCTGTTTTTCCTCTTAATACAATGTATGTGTCTGATATTAACCAGACTTAAAAAATCTATTAAGTAGAGATAATTTATAGAGGAGAGCAATGACAATCTACTTTGATGGGGACGTGGGGATTGTAAAGGGCAGGTGTCTGAGGTAAGGCTTTGCTGGTAAACTAGGACTTAAATGTATAGCTGAGAAGTTAATACTTAATTTGGCAATCACGGAATATTTGGGGGAAGGGAAGTGATCCAAACTGTCAATAACAAGTAGAATTTGCCTTGAACTCTGCCTTATTTTTCCTTATCTTACTAAATTTACTAGTTGATTTACGAATACAGGATTAGTGGGATACAATTAACAGTAGACACTGACTACAAGGGTTTCTAAATCATCTTCTCAGTCTAAGAAACCACGGAGGTAAACCATTTGATTTAAAGTTTTAGCAACGAGCCGCCTGTAAAGTACAGGGCCTGGCGTACTCTAGGTGCCCAGTGAACACTGGCTAAATGAAGCTCATGTACTGTAACTTTTTGTTTTTAGGAAGGCACGATTCATTTTTTTGGCCTTCCCCCCATGCCCTGTTTGAATACTTTCTATTTAGAGGAAGTAAACCCTGAGAAACAGGCAGCGTTTTCACCAGGATGGCCAGTTAAGAAATCCTTGTTACCGCCCAGGCCCAAATTGCACTGCCATTGAGCTGCCATGCCCGGTGAAAAGCACATGTTGTAATGGCCGCTTTCAGGCTTCCTGTGGCCCAGGAGGGAAGATCTTCACGAAGGTCTTCAAAGGCAGGGACGAAATAAGGCTGCTCTTCAAATTGCAGAGAAGCTCTGAAAATCGGAGAGATCCGGGCGCCTGGGTGGCTCAGTTGGTTAAGCGACTGCCTTCGGCTCAGGTCATGATCCTGGAGTCCCGGGATCGAGTCCCGCATCGGGCTCCCTGCTCGGCAGGGAGTCTGCTTCTCCCTCTGACCCTCCTCCCTCTCATGCTCTCTCTCATTCTCTCTCTCTCAAATAAATAAATAAATAAATAAATAAAAATCAGAGAGATCCGTATGTAAGAGAATATATTTTTAAAAATTAGCAGAAAGCAACATTCTTTTAGAGACCAGGAGTGTCCTTCCTTCCATGTTTCCCAACCTGAAATGTGAACTTGGCAAACGAAACTTCTTTTCTGATTGGAATTAAAATGAGTGACCATGCTGTGACCAATGTTGGAAATCCAAATAGCTGTCCCCTACTGAGTCTTCATAGAGCTCACCTCATAAAAGCTGCACATCAAGTCAGTGATATGGGGATGAAATGAAATGGCAATGTTGGAATTCAAACCCGGCTCTTTGTGCCCCCAGAGCCCATTCACTTTCCTACGTGCCACCTACACTCAAAACTGTCTTCTTGTCACATGACGGTCTTAAAAAGTCCATCATATATGTGAAGGCTGGAGCATCCTGAATAGCCTAGGCCCGAAATGGCAAGATTGTTGTAACTTCAAGGATTTGTTAGTAGGTTGCAAACTACACAGTCACAGAACGTCCATTCAATTTCTAGTGGTCTTAATCAGTTAGACTTTGCTTTATAATCCTTCTGATTGTTTGGAGAAGTAAAGCCCCAGTATTGGCCCACCCTGGGGAAAGTAAAGGTAAAGGCTCTCAGCCTGCTTTGTTGAGGAGAATGGGGAAGGATGGGGCCTAGCATGCAGAAGTCCCTAAGGAAGCCTTAATAATCCCACCTTGCCGTGCAGAAACTAAATTCTAATCGGATGGGAGTCCTAGTCTTCAGATCAGAAAGAAAAAAGAAGGTGAGAGAGTCAGCTCTTATCTGTAACCTTATATAGTCTGAGAGTCAGAGACCCTCACTGTGGCTCTGTGTCTAACCACATGGTCTAGGGAAGTCTCTTGGACTTCCTGTCTCACGGTTTGTTTTTTTTTTCTTTTTAGCTGAAAAGCAGGTGAGACAATGCAACTGTAAGAATGAATATAACATTCCAAAAGTATATTAATTGACTAAGCTGTCAACTGCTGAGTTGTCAGTCAACAAACATTTGGTTGAGTGCCAGCTATATGCTAAGTACTGGGGACGCATGGTGAGTAAAGAGTAACATATGGATGGGCCATGAACTCAAGGAGCTTAGAGTTCTATGGAAGAGATAGAGAAGAAACATGCGAATTCAAAGTTACAAACAATGCTATACAAATAAACTGATGTTCTTATTTATCACTTATCCTACTGCCATCAGGTTTGGACATTACTGTCAGCTTCTTTGCCTGAGTTCTATAGATTCAAGGGTGGCTTTTGTAATTTCTCCCAAATTGCATATAAACATCTAATTTAAGTGAGTTCATGGCATGTGTAGTGAGACCAGGTGTACATAAAATAGAACTTTTAAGTGTCTGTATTGGTCATGTTATAGAAACTCATGTTTACCCCATTAAATATGCACTCCTTTTTAGTTCCATTTCTAACTTGAAAAAAAAATATTTTTTCAGGGCACCTGGGTGGCTCAGTGGATTGAGTGTCCAACTCTTGATTTCAGCTCAGGGCATGATCCCAGGACCCTCCCTGCTCAGCGAGGAGTCTGCTTGTCCCCTCTCCCTCTGCCCCTCCCCCCACTCTCCCTCTCTCTCTTTCTCAAATAAATAAAATCTTTACCTTAAAAATTTTTTTTTTCTCTCTTGCAGTTTAAATGCAGCGTAGAAATTTGCTGAGATTACTCAATAATAATAATAATAATAATAATAATAATAATAATAGCTTAGTGAGATTGGGCTAGGCTCGAGGTGACAGTAACAGAGAAACTTCCCTTTAGAAGTCAATGGCAAAAGGGGTAGTTCAGTGAGGAAGCCATGGGACTTGATGGTAGCTTGGGTAATTAGGAGGTAGCTGGCGATAATCCAGAAGGGACTCAAAAGCATAAAAATGGTATCTGTGTGATGAGGAGCAAGCCCTGGGCAGTCAGAGGCAGCAAAGCCCTTCCTTCCCACACCACCAGCCAGCGGGCTTGTTCCCATTTCAGGAAATGGTGAGGAGATTGTATTTGGAAGCCCCATATAAACATGACTTGTGACTTCTCTTTGGATTTTTTTGCGGGGGGCCATCCTGAGCATATCCTAGAGGGCAACTGGGAAAAACTAGGGATTGGTGCCTTGGTGAGATCCATTCCAATGACCCACTGGTAACTAATGGCCTCTGTTTTTCCTTTTTATGAGATGTGTGAGTTTCATATCAACTAGCTTTTTAAAAAAAACCTACCTATTAAATTCAGAGTATTACAAATGGACCTTTTATTTCTCAAGCACATCTCTCCATTGTTCTGGCATTCAATTTCTTTTTCTCTAACACTCTGCTGCTCAAGCTGATGGGGGCATCAGAATCTGTTGTTCCATATTTTTGATGATCTATATTGATGATGATAAGGGTAGAACTATGGAAACACTGTAGAGGCCACATCAAAACCGTATTTTTTTTCTTGAAATTCAGCATGGGGAGCTAAGACATACTAGCTGAAGAGTTAAATAATGATACAAAAAAACACTCAAATATTTATTAAACACCTCTTAGTGAATCTATAAAACAGACCTATGAGAGAAGAACTATGATAAATACATAGGTAAGGAAGTTAGAAACTGAGCATATTGTTCAACGTCACACAGCTAGGTGGTCGGGCTGAGATCCAACACATGTATATCTGATGGCAAGTTTTGCAGAACTTGCCCTCTGAAATGTAATTCAGCACTGATTTCTGATCCTACTGTTCCCATTCTCTCAGTCTTAGGACTCCAATTGTATTCCATCACTCCAATAAGGACTATATTAATTATCTGTTGCTGTGTGAGAAATTTCCACAAATTAAGTGGCTTAAAACAACCCCAGTTTATTAGCTCTCAGTTCTGCCAGTGAGAAGTCCAGCATCCTGTGTTTGGTTGGGTTCTCTGCTCAGCATATTACAAGGCTGAAGTCAAGGTGCCAACTGGGCTGAATTCTCAAATGGAAACTCTGGGTAAAAATCTTCCAAACTCATTCTTGTTGGCAAAAATCAGTTCCTTGCAGTTGTGGGACTGAGGTTCCTGTCTCCTTGCTGACAGCCATTCAGGGGCTGCTCTCAGATCCTGACAGTCCCTGTATTCCTTCCATGTGGCCTCCTCCATGTTCAAGCCAGCAACATTGCAGCAAATACTTCCCGTGCCTTGAATCTCTGAGTTCTTCCGTCTCTGAGTTCTGGACCCAGATTTAAAGGGCCATGTGATTGGCTCAGGCCCACCCAGATAAACTTTCTCTTAAGGTCAATTTGGGACTTTTGTTACCTCTGTAAAATGCCTTTTGCCATATAATGTAACAAACTCATAGGAGTGACATCCCATCACATTCACAGGTCAGGTCCCACCCCCACTCAAAGGGAGGAGATTATATAAGGTCATTGGGGATCACCTTTGAATTCTGCCTACCACAGGGACTCCAAGAAACTATGGAGGAACCTAGCAATTGGGAAACAGGAAAAAGATATTTCCTTAAAATTGTAAAGAATACAAAGTAGTAAAACAATGTACAGCACTTGAAATAAACAGAAAAGGCGACAAGGCTGTATAAGAAACCAAAGACAATTTTTCATCAACAGAAATGTAAGCTAAGTGATTTCAAATAGGAAACCCTTATTTTGAGAACCTGAGTCACTGCCCATGTCCACCAGTGGACACTTAGCTGTAGCTGATGCTGTTGGTGTTTCACTCATGTTCCCTCCACACTTACGGTTCTACAGCACATGGGGTAGCTGCCTTCTGCAAGCCCCACTCATTCTCTGCCTGAGGATTTTCTTTCAGCCCTCTCCTGGGGCAAGCCTGAAATGCCAGGGAGTTGATGCCCTGGGACCAGCCCTTGGCCTGTGACAGATGGGAGTCGGGGGATGAATTCCTAAGCTTTCTAACCACTCAGGTAAAAAAAAGAAAAGAAAGAAAAGAAAAGAAAGGAAGGAAGGAAGGAAGGAAGGAAGGAAGAAAGAAAGAAAGAAAGAAAGAAAGAAAGAAAGAAAGAAAGAAAGAAAGAAAGAAAGAAAGAAAGAAAGAAAAAGAAAGAAAAGAAAACCTCTGGAGCATTTTCTATATCTCTCAGAGTCCTCTAATCAAAGAGACCATGGTATGGTATGATATGATATGATATGATATGATATGATATGATATGATACATGATAGTGGTAGCTGATCTGATAATACACCCTTCATTCGTAGCCTTCTCTTCCCAATCTCACTTCCCCTGACCTTGTTTTCTGTGATCACCTTGCAGTTGACTTAAATTCTTGTCTTGGGTTTTTTTTTTAGACATGTAGAATAATAGTGACTATATCTTTGCATTTGGTTTGATGGAAAAGGGTATGAACCTTAAAGACAAATAGACTTGGATCCCAGCCAATGTGAGATTTAGCTTTAATTTTTTTAATCTGTAAAATGAGGACAATAATCCTTATCACATTGTCACTGAATGAGGTAATGATTATGGCTAAACTGCCTGGCTCACAGAAAGCACTCAATAAAGTCTAATTCTTTCTTCCTTTCTCTGGAATCCTCTGTGTCTTCCTCACTAGTAGTATTTCTGCAGTCCTGGGAATCTGCTCTCATGGTCCCATGCTCTCTGTAGATGTAGCTAACCCAGAGATAGTAGAGTAAGCACAATTCTCCACACAACTACATTTTTTTCTATAAAATCAGAACATGTTATTAAAAATAACTAAGCCATGGGGCCCCTGGGTGGCTCAGTCGGTTAAGCATCTGACTCTTGATCTCAGCTCAGGTCTCGATTTCAGGGTCGTGAGTTCAAGCCCCATGTTGGGCTCCATGATGGGCATGGAGCCTATTTAAAAAAATAATAAGTAAGTCAAATATTAAACACCCTTAGATTAAATTGAATATGTTTAGAACCAGATACTTATAATACCTAAGATTTTTTTTTTTTTTGGCACTTGGCTCTCCTTAACAGTTGTCTGTATCTTGCAGCCAGAGCAAGCATTTGACCAGGTTTCAGGAGGACAAAGCTTTGATTCAACCATAAAGCACAGTTTGTGTTTTTTCTACTTTGGGCATTGACCTGAATCAAGATTCAAATCCAAATCTTCCTCCCCCCACCACTTATTTGTTTATTTATTTATTTATTTTGTGTTATTATGTTCAATTAGCCAGCAAAATCCACATCTTCTAACATGTATCAGGACAGTCACACTTGAGTACTGACCAAAATACTATTTTTAATGTCAAGGTAATCATAAAAGGTATGAAAACATCAGAATATTGATACTCTGGCATCAGATAGCCTGTATTTAAATCCCAACTCTGCCGCTTATTAACTATGTGACCTAAGGCAGGGGTAACCTCTCCACTTGTTTCTCCCTAACCTGTTATACAGTGATAATAATGGTACCTCCCTGCTAAGATTGATGCAAAAATAAAGAGTCAGAATGCATATAAAACACTTAAAACAGCTCCTTGCAGAAGCTCTTTGTAAATATTAGCTATTGTTCTTTTTGCCATTAATATTTGGTTAATGGTATCTCCTTGCGATGTTGTCTCTGTCAACAGAGGCGGGTGGACAATTTTTTCTCCTTGCACAGTGTAGGTCTTAGAAGGGTGTTGTTCTAAAACTATTCACTTGTTCTAGAACTGTTCACTTGTCTGTGTCCCCATTAGACTTTCAGGGTCATGTGAAATGCATACAGCTTTCCTATTACAATGTTAGTGTCCCTAGGAGAGCTGACTCTTGAATCTCTCACCTAACACTTAACTTACTGGTTGACATCCTCACAAGGATGAGCCTTTGCTAACTGCCCAGCGTGGGACTGTGAGGGAGCTCACACACATTCTGGGGTGGGGAAAAGTGATGGAGAAGACACAGAGACAGAGCTTCCCTCCTTCAGGTCCAGGTAAAATATGCAGAAACTGGTTGTAGGGACCTGACATTTAATGTTCAACAAACTTCTTTGGGCTTCTTGGTTTGAGCTGGTTGTGCATGCGTGTGGTTACTGCAGGAACCTGTCAGGTAGGCCACTCACTGTTTGACCTTGGGAAGATGACTACAAGTATCTGAGCCTCGGTTTTCTCATCTGTCGAATGCATAGAATGACACTGTTTTTAGGGTGGTTATGACAATTAAATGAGGTGACACGTATCTACTGCCTGTCACACAGAAAACCTTCTTGTTAACAATTACTACTTTGTTCTTTTCTCCTTAATCAAAGTGCTGTTCCACAAGAATTCGAAGACAACTGGACAGGAACCTCACTTTTCATAAAATGGTGGCATGGATGATTGCACTTCACACTGGTAAGTTTATTAAGATATTTGAGATTGCAAAGAAAACGTGGAACCAGAGAGTTCCCTCTATTCCTAGATTGCTTTTATTTTTAGAGGAGATCAGCATTTTTAGGTAGATTAGGTGGTGATTGGATATGTTGTATTTTTTAATTTATTTTTTTAATTGAAGTATACTTAACATACAATATTATATTGGTTTCAGGTGTACAACATAGTGATTCGACAATGACATACATTATAAAATGCTCACCATGATAAATGTAGTTACCGTCTGTCACCACACAAAGTTAGTACAGTATTATTGGCTATATTCCCTATGCTGTATTTTACATCCCTGTGAGTTATTTGTTTTATAACTGGAAGTTTATATCTCTTAATCTCCTTTACCTATTTTGCCCATCCCCTCACCCCCAACCCCTCTGGCAACCATCAGTTTGTTCTCTGTATTTATGAGTCTGTTTCTGTCTTGTTTGGTTTGGTAGGTTTGGTTTTTAGATTCTACATATAAGTGAAACCATATGGTATTTGTCTTTCTCTGTCTGATTTATTTCATGTAGCATAATACCCTCTAGGTCCATCCATGCTGTAGCAAATGGCAAGGTTTCATTCTTTTTTATGGCTGAGTAATACTCAATTTTGTGTGTATATATATATATATATATATACACACACACACAATTATACAATATATATATTATATACCACTTCTTCTTTATCCATTCACCTATGGATGGACACTTAGGTTGCTTCCATATCTTGGCTATTGTAAATAATGCTGCTATAAACATGGGGATGCATATATCTTTTTTTCAAATTAGTGTTTTCATTTTCTTTGGGTAGAATTATTGGATTGTATGGTATTTCTTTTTTTAGTTTTTTGGGGCAGCTCCATTGTGTTTTCCATAGTGGCTGCACCAATTTACATTCCCAGCAAGATATGTTGTACTTTTCGAATGAATTCTGTTAAAAAATATTCACCATTCTTTCTTCCATCCCAATATTAGGGTTTATTCCTTCAAGTCTTAAAACTTTTATATCTTGGGCTCTTCTGACAAAATCTGAGTGTCTTCACCCTTTTCCATGCTTTTTAATATAAAAAAAGTTAGTCCACAACTGAGAGCTTTTATTTATCCATTAAAAAAAATACTAAGGTTGAACATGTAGATTTGTGGATTTCTTGCAGTAACCCTAAGATAGGATATCTTCTCAACTTACAGGTTGTGGTTCTTGCCACAACCCATAAGTTGAAAAGATACCTTATTTTAAGGGTAAGATAGCCCTTATCAGCTAAGCGTGTTCTTTATTTATTATTGTTATTATATATCTAACAGGTATACATATGTATATATGTATTCTATATTATGTGTTATTATTATAATAATTAAAGTGGCGGTGTTGGCACAAGGGATGTATCTGGGACCATTATCAAATCTTCACTAATTCACTTAACAAATAAGTGATGTGCCGGGCAATAGGCATGCACACAGGCACAGTGATGAACAAAAGAGATTTTTATTCTGCCCTTAAAGAATTTCCCCATAATTTGAGTAAAATAGGCTTAGATTGCAGGTGTTTAACTGGGTTTCTCTTCTATTAGTAGATTGTGCAGGCTTTCTGAGCTGTGGCAAACAAAATGGTTCAAAAGCAAAATGCATGATAAAATCTTATTAGAAAGCAACATAGCGTAATGATTAGGAGCAAAGATTTGAGCACCAGATTGCTTGGATTCGATTCTTAACTCTGCTGCTTCCTAGCTTGGTGATCTTGGGCAAGATATTAAAGCAATCTATGCCCCAGTTTCCTCATCTGTAAGATGAGATGATACTAATAGTATAAGGATTAATTATAAAGCACTTATAACAGTTCTTGAAACCCAGTAAGTTGTATGTAAGTGCTTGTTAAGTAAGGAATGCAATTTTCAAGAAGATATTCACTCTTGTGGCCATTGGCTTATATCAGTTCGATAAAATGTTATCTCTCTGGAGTAATGTCAGAGTCAGGTGAATGGGCCAGCCAAAGGCATACATTATTATATGAGAGTCTTCTTGTTTGAGCACAAATATATCAGGGGGAGAGAAACAATGAGAGCACACCTAAATATCCTCAGAGACCAAGGTTATTTTGTAGAAGCTCAGAACTTGATTGGATCTTTAGGATAATGTCGTTTAACATCTGCATTTTACAAATGAGGAAACCAAGACCAGAGAGGTCAAGTGATTTGCGTATGATCACAAAACTAGAGAATAGCTTACCCACTAGAGTTCGAGTCTTGCCTCTCTGGCCTGGAGACCCAGTTCTTGTTTCTAAGTGTCCTGGGCCATCCCTGTGTCTCCCTGTATCTTATCATAGAGTCGGGGGTTATAGGCAGAAACCCAACTTAACACAAAAATTGTCCACACCCTTCACCTTGTTTGTTTCTGTTCTCTGTTCTCTTCAGCGATTCATACCATTGCCCATCTGTTTAATGTGGAATGGTGTGTGAATGCCCGAGTCAACAATTCTGATAGGTATTCAATAGCACTCTCTGACCTTGGAGATAAACCTGGTGAAAGTTACCTCAATTTTGCTCGAAAGAAAATCCCGGTAAGTCTATTTCCGGATACAGATGGTCCCTAGGCCATTAAAACTGAGGACTAGATTTCAGCAAGTGAAGAACTCTACTTGGGCAGAACATCAACAATGTTAAAAGTTGACTATCAGTGGGCCAAGTCTGTAGTTTCTAAGAATGTGGGTACAGAGAAAATGTCTTCCACACTCCTGATCCCATGTGTGGAGGGTCTCTAGATGTTTTCCAGGTCCTTAGGCTCACCTGTGGAATCTGGAGTAACTCAGGCTCACCCATGACAATGCCCACCACCAAAGAAAAGACAAGAACACACATCTAGTCAAACAAAGTTGAGTTTATCACTTCCTGCAGCAAAAGAGACCTAGCACCATGAGAAAGTCTGGGACATTCCAGGAAGGTGTTCGTAGAGGCTTGTTATAGGACAGGGACTTGCGTTAGGTGGTTTTGGAGGGGTTTAAGGAAGCAAGGATTTGCTCTGCATCAGGTATGGTCAGGAATTGGGGGTTTTTCTAGGATTGGGTATCTTAGCAGCAGTCACTTGTGTTGTTGTCTTGGCTCTGACATAATTCCGGAGTGGTCTTTTTTTTTTGTCTCACTCCCTCACAGTCACCGAATGACCTCGTCTGATGTGAGTGTTCTAGGAAATTGTTTATGTGAATTGGGGAACACTCCGACTTCGGTGTTAGTACTAGGCTAGCCACCAGCTGACAGCCGACAGAGACGCATTTCTTCTTTCTTGCCTACAACATCTGAGGGGTGGCCTATGTCTGCTGATTATTGGCCCATGGGAAGCACGGTGCACTGGGAGTAACTCCATGGTCTTCCAGGGGCAGCCATTTGGGGTATCCACAGCAAGGACTGCTTCCCATCCAGCAGTTGTTAGAGCTTCCTACACTCAGACGGAGAAGCTCTGAGTCATCTTCATGTGCCCTATGGCTTGGGAGGATGGCCAAGTCACATAATTATACACTGAATCCCAAACGTGTTTCCTCGTGTTTAGAAAAGATGAGAAGAAAAGTCCCTTAACATTGCAGAAATAATTCTCCTCAGGCTAACATGAAAACAACTTGCATAAAAGAAAAAAAATTCCTTTTCTGTAACTTCTGGGATAATTTTTCTTTCATATTGTTCATTGTTCGTACAATGATATAGAAGAAAGGCAATGTGAACATACTCGGTGAGCCGACGCTGTCAGTCACGCTCTGCCCGGATCTCTTTGTACTGTGTCTGTGCTCCCCCCACCTTTCTGTGTGTTTTCACTTCTCAATTTCTGATGCCAGTGTTTCTTCCTCAGAGGACCACCCTGGTGCTATCGGAGTCCCTTGGCCCACAAGCTCAGAGATCTGGAAGGGTCTGGATGGCTACCTCTCTGTGGGCAGCCGTTAACCAATAGCTGATGGGTGCAGGCCATGAAAGCCCAGCTTCCTTGCCTTGAGTCAGGGATGAACTCTGAGGTGTGACCTACCCTCCACAGTTCCTCCGCAGCATCAGGCTGAAGCTACCTTCTCTAAAGACTTGGCCTGAGATCACCCTCGTGTTTGACTTGTTCCTCTTTCCTGTCCTATTGCCCATCTTCTTACCAGTTTCTTCTGGAGCACACCTTTTTAAAATCACTTGCTCATGAATCCTCATCTCAAGGTCTGTCTGCTTCAGGGGAACCCAGCCTAAGATGGGAGGCATGTCCAGAATACATTTGCCAACCAAGCACTGAGGCCCTTTCCAAACCAAAGGGAGAAGGAGCCTCAGACCCTTTTAGGACATCTTACAGTTGGCTGATGTCCTTTATTCGATACTCCCTTAGGACTATTTCAGTGTATCAGTTAGTACTTCCTGTGACACCCTGACCACGTAAGACAGTTTTTTTTTTTTTTTAAGATTTTATTTATTTATTTGAGAGAGAGAGACACAGTGAGAGAGGGAACACGAGCAGGGAGAGTGGGAGAGGGAGAAGCAGGCTTCCCGCCGAGCAGGGAGCCCGATGTGGGACTCAATCCCAGGACCCTGGGATCATGACCTGAGCCGAAGGCAGACACTTAACCGGCTGAGCCACCCAGGCGCCCCGTAAGACAGTTTTAAATTGAGAAATATCTATTCTAAATCTATCTCACTCTGTGAGGGATGGTTAGGATTATCGGAAGGGGGAATGAAAATACCTATTGGCCTATACACCAGACGCTTTATAAATAGTCTTGCATTTGAGAGCCTATGAGTAATATGTGTGTGTGTGTGTGTGTGTGTGTGTTTGTATTTTGCAGAATCCTGAAGGAGGCCTGTATGTGGCTGTGACCCGGCTGGCCGGCATCACTGGTATTGTGATCACACTGTGCCTCATATTAATTATCACTTCCTCCACCAAAACCATCCGGAGGTCTTATTTTGAAGTGTTTTGGTACACACACCATCTTTTTGTGATCTTCTTCATCGGTCTCGCCATCCACGGAGCTGAGTGAGTGTTTAATCTCCGAGGTCAAGTACTTTAAATCCTTTAGTTTCCAGGTTGGAGGCTGTTAGAGGTACAGCGACCTCCTTGTCTGTGTGTCGTCAGACTCTCTGCTGGGGGAGTATGAGGGGACACCAGAGGTCAGTTGGCTAGAGGCCACTCAGCAGCATTTTCATTTATTGCACCCGATTAATAGCTATTATTTCTGTAGTAATTTAACAATAGCTATTATTAATGCAGTTAATTCTAGCAAGCTTGAAAAATACCCCAACGTTTGAGTACCTCTCCAAGTGTGTAAAACATGTTAAGGGTGCTGGAGGGGTCTTGGATGTCTGCAGTGATGTTTCTTATGGCTTAATCACTAGTAAATTAGACAAACTCCCAAACTAGAGGGGCTAAATTAATCAGGTGAAAGGGTTTGCTGTAGTTCGATGAGCTTTGATTCAAGCTGGACATATACTGATTGCCTACTGTGTATGAGGACTGGTCTCCGGCGCGGTGGGGAATACTAGAAGGAAAAATACATGGTTATTGCCTTCCAGCATTCTAATACAATAAAGGTAAGAGCTCGCTTCTAGGGGCGCCTGGGTGGCTCAGTCGTTAAGCGTCTGCCTTCGGCTCAGGTCGTGATCCCAGGGTGCTGGGATCGAGCCCCGCGTCGGGCTCCCTGCTCTGCGGGAAGCCTGCTTCTCCCTCTCCCACTCCCTCTGCTTGTGTTCCCTCTCTCGCTGTGTCTCTCTCTCTGTCAAATAAATAAAATCTTTTTTTTTTTTTTTTTAAGAGCTCACTTCTATTGAGCACTCATTATAGACATGAAATGTTTCTTTTAGGTAGAGATCCTCTTACATCCCCATTTCCTGGGGGAAATTGTAGACAAGGAAACAAGCTAACAAAGCTAAACTATGTAGCCCAAGTCAGCCAGTTTGTAAGTGGCATAGCTGGGATTGGGGCCCAGGTGGTCTCAGGCAGGCCATGACAAATACTCTCATAGAGACTCACAGTGCCTGCATGTGTGGTTGGGACAGTTCGTCTTATGGGAAATCCTATTTAATACCAGGTTTCCTTTTTATGCTGTTTCACACCAGCTGATTCTCCCACCTGCACACAAAAGTAGGCTTGGGGAAGTCCCCTGGTGGGTTTGGGGCTCCACATAACTAAGCATCAAGAGAGCACCTGCTCAAGGTTCAATGACTGTGCTGGGAGCCAAGTTGGCCTGGAGGTGACTAAGACCTGAGTGTGAAAAGGGGAAAGGGTGGGAAGATGCAGCATTGGGCAACCACTTTGTATGCATTCTTGATTGACTTGCTGACTCTGACCCCTCATCAACTCTTTCTAAGCACTGAAGAATCTGTGTAGGCAAAGAATCTCTTGACTCTCCTAAAGCAATTGAGTATCTTTAAATGGGATTTGATCATAAGCCAGCTGTTTCAAGGAATCCTAGAGACAAAAAATGAATCTCTTCCCCTCTCTAGCTTAGTACTTCCACCGCTTTATGCTTGTATAGTTTCACAACTATGCATTTACCTTTGGAGCGGGCAGACGAGGTATATTTGCCCCACTCTCCATCTGAAGAGAATCTGCCACTTACACTGGTTGGCTGATTGCTCACAGTCTCATGGCCTTGGCAGCAGCAGCTGAACTGGGATTAAAATCCAGGTTTCCTGACTTCTGGTCCTTGCGCTGAGAAGAGGGGAGAATCCAATTTTGTTTTCTCTCCCTTACTCCCCATGTGAACTTGGGACTTAGGAATTTTGACAATTATCATTTGTTGGACTCTTACTTTGTGTTGACATATCTTATGCATCAGGCCAATGGATCACTAAAATACACCTTTAATTAGGTATTATTATACCTATTTTACAACTGCAGAAACCGAGGTTCAGAAGAAGTTAAATAACTTGCCCAAGGCCACCAAACTAGCAAGGGGTAGACCTGGGATTTGAAACAAAGGCTGTCTGACACAGGCCCAAAATTGGTTTCTCCAAATTATTCTGCTTCTAAGTTACTAGTTTCTCTAAGCCTCGGTGTTCTCATGTGTCAAATGGGGCTGCCAATACTTACCATTCAGGCTTGTTATGAGGGTCAACTGAGATAATTTGTGTAGAGTAACTTTCCCCAGGCCTGGCACATAATAGATGCTCAGTACATGGTAACTCTCTGCCCCAACGCCTAGGGATAGAAAAGGATGGTTAACAGCCTTGAATTAAAACATTCACAGAATATACCAAGTGGCACAAGAAATTTTAGGTCCCCCATACAACTATTACAAAGGGGGCCTTCTGTGTCTCTTCTTCATATATATTCTGAAGACCCTGCCATTTATGTTCCTTGAGGTCAGGAACATGACTTACCTGACTTTGTGCCCCCCTTCTTCTGTTCCCAGTAAACCCACATTGTCTTGTGTGTTAGCAGTTGCTCAGTTGAAATGTATGGAATCGAAATGAATGTGCTCTGAGTGCTTCCAAGGACGCACCATTAGTGTTGATATCTGTGAGAATGTCATAATCCCCACAAAGTCTCCTTAAACTGATTTCAACCCTTTCGATTTACTTTAGACAATTTTGGAACAACAAATGAAGCGCTTGGACTAAGCCTCGGAGCTACTGTGTGTCAACCGCACAGGGTGCCTGTCCGTGGGGCGTAAACTTCGCCCATGCTTTGCTGGCCAGGCTCTTTGCTTCTATGACTGTCCCCACAGAGGGGGCATCTTTTTGTAATTCGCACAAAGACACTGTATGGGCGAGTACGTGCTCTGTTAGATTGGCAGTTTTCCTGTTTTTGTCTGTTTGTTTACAAATGAAAATAATACTCGAAACAGAAGCACAAATGCTCCCTTTAAGAAAACATGTACTGATGATCCAAAACCTACATATTCTTTGTGTCATTGTACATATGTTTTTTTATATTGCTGAAGAAGACATATTTCCTTTCCCTTCCTCAAATCTACTCAGAGGGGTCAATGAGATATTACTGTTAAGTGGAAAGTATAGGATCCATACTAGAATACTTGAAATATGCCCAGATTCTCTAAAAACTAAGAACTTAATTTCTTGCTACTAAATGGTCTGGACTTAATTTCCTCCCCAGGCGAATCGTTCGTGGGCAGACCCCACAGAGTTTAAAGGAACACAAGCCTGAGCAATGTGAAAAAGACCCCTCAGACTGGGGAAAACCAGGAAAATGCCCAATCCCACAGTTCTCTGGGAACCCTCCTATGGTATGTACAGTTCATTGTTACTATTACAATTTCATTACCAACAATCTTCCAACTGTGTCTAAGAAATATGTACAAATGTCATAGAGCTGTCCATTACGAATGCCATGGAACTGCTAGAATGTTATAAGTATCTACTTTTTTCTGTGATACTTATTGTCTAGAATTATTTTTTGAAAGGTAAGGATTGCATTGGTCTATTATGAACATCTTGATATAAAACTTGGAAAAGCATTGTTTTTGAAAGTGCTGTTGGGGTTCAAGAAATTCCATCTCTTCTCTTCTGGATGTGAGGGCCACAATAATACCAGTTAATGGTTTCCAGAGGGATTCCATTCTAAGCTGAGTTGGATAGCTCAGATAATCACTTATAAGGAGCTAAGAGCCTTTTCAGATACCAGGAAGTAAGACTTTCTTTACAGCTTTCAAAGCTGGGAAGGAAATTATGAAGTAACATATAGGGCTGCCCTTAAGCATCAGGAGGCTGTGTCTACACCACATAAAGGACACCGGACAGCCAGGTTTGTACCAATGCAAGAGGATGGCAAGGATGACCAAGGGAAAACATGGTAGAATATTCACCTTCTGTTGGGAGCTCCTCTTGCATGCTCTGCAAAGTTCCATTTTGTGTATTCTCAATATCTCCGCTCCATTGAGTGAGAAGTGGGCCTTATGTTCTTCATATCTTTTCCTCCATTAGCAAGCAGTGTACCTTATTGGTTACCATGCTAAGCACTGGTATAAAGCTAGGCAAAAATCAACATTGGTACAGGGCTTCTGAACAGGATTAGTATTTTTTTAAGCACAGTATAATGTAAAGGCAAATGTCCCACCCCATTGTCTCCTTTCTTTCTTCCTGCTCTCTTAACATAGGAGTTTTCTTCCTCTAAGACACAGTCTGCTGTCCAGGGACTTAACATCTTTAAGCATCCGTGCTCATTAATGAAAGCAACCAGATGTATCAATGAACTGCCCCCACTACATGCACACATCAATAGAAAGGATAAAAAAAAAGAACTGAATTGCAGGTCCTCTTATGGGTTAGGGGAAGGCACATTTCCTTGAAGACAGCTGGAATCAAGGTACTACTATCTTAACAGGCATCTACCTCAAAGGAGCTTCTGGGTTTCTGGGATTAGAGGCGATGTCCAAGACCTCACTCTATTTGATGGAGCCCCATTGCGGTGCCCAGGAAATAGATGGATGGTGCCGTGCTATTTTAAAAACCTGTCCCATGAAAACAAAGGCCAGCAGCAGAATATTTCCGACTTTCAGGGCAGATAGTCTTCAACTTTGGCGGAAGGTGGGGACATTCAGGTGCTCTCAACTTCCAATCTACAGTTTTTTCAAAACGTTTAATAGAAAGATCATATGTGAGACTGTAGGAAGCCCTTTGTGATTTCTTTTTCTTTCTTGAAATCCATTCTGAGATGCCATCCTTTAAATGATATCGCCTCCTAAAGCTCTTTACTACTTCAGGTATTAAACTAGGAACCTAACTGACTGAGTCCCAGGATGGATCTGTTTATCCTAAAGGTTTTCATATAGCCAATAATACTACAGGGTAATTCCAGTGTTGTGAAACACTGGAGATTCTGATGAGAGAGGAATCTAAAGAAATCTGAAAATCTTTGGGCTTGTCCCTCTTCAGCAGGTGCATTGCATAGCTCCTAGAACTTACCAGGATATTGGAGAAACAACTAAATTCTTGCATGAAATTTTTTATCTTGCAAAAGATTAAGCTTTGACTACATAGTTGAGAGAAAGCAGCTGCAATGTTGCATTAAAAAAAATATGGGGTTGTTGAAATGCTATCCTTAAGAGAAATGTTAATTCTGAAACTAATCTTGCTCTGCTGTAGGGTTACAGCAACTGCTGTTGCAACACCAGGAGGAAATCCCATTCTTGTGGGCAGTTCCTCTTGGGAGAGTCTTATACTGTAGATAAAGTTCCCCGGTGTGGCCAAAGGAGAATGCTCATTTCTACTGGCTCAAAACTTTATTTTAACTTTCGGTACTTTTCATGCATTCTGTTGTATGAGAAATTTACGAATCGGATATCAGATATTTAAACACGCCTACAGGGGCGCCTGGGTGGCTCAGTCGGTTAAGCATCTGCCTTCGGCTCAGGTCGTGATCCCAGGGTCCTAGGATCGAGCCCTGCATCAAGCTCCCTGCTTGGTGGGAAGCCTGCTTTTCCCTCTCCCACTCCCCCTGCTTGTGTTCCCTCTCTCGCTGTGTCTCTCTCTCTCTCAAATAAATAAATAAAATCTTTAAAAATATATATATATATATTTAAACAAGCCTACAAAGATTAACTTGACTTCTAAAATGTTTTGTTCCCATTAATCTTATATTAGCTATTACCCCTTAATACATCCTGTTTTCATTTTTTGTTCTGATTACAGACGTGGAAATGGATAGTGGGTCCCATGTTTCTGTATCTCTGTGAGAGGTTGGTACGGTTTTGGCGATCTCAACAGAAGGTGGTCATCACCAAGGTATTGTCTGGTTTAGGAATTACTAGTAACATCTAACTATATCATGGACAAGTTTACCCAAGTTCTCTGTAGCATTGGTCAGAGCTGTCTTTCACTCGGTTTCTTTTGATTAAATGTAGAGCAGAGAGAAGACCTACAGTTGAATTCAGTCAGTATACTTAGCTTGATAATCAAATGGTTGGACCTTTTAACTGGGGCAAGTACAAGTTAACATTTTCTGTTGAAAAATGAATCTGACGGTTTTGTGTACATGAATCTCTCTCTCTCTCTCTCTCTCTGTGTGTGTGTGTGTGTGTGTGGAGAGAGAGAGAGAGAGAGAGGAGGAGCATACTGTGATGAATGTGAGCAGGTTAGAGTGAAGAAGCAAAGCACATGAGTTCAAAAGGGTACACACTGAGCCTTAAAATACTCAGATGCCAAAAGAACCAGGGAGCCAAGGGCAGGTCTGATTGAGGTTGAGGTAGTTTTCCAGGTCTCCCTTTACCTGCTTTTCTGTGCTGTGTATGTAATCACAGAATATCAGAGTTGGAGGACCCAAACTCTCAAGGAGGTTAGTAACTAAACTGCATCTAGAATCGAGTTGACTCCAGGTATATGGTGGCTCCCCCCGCTCCACACTTCGGTGCTGCTTCTCATTACTAACTAAATAAATATCCAACTCAATAAATAGAAATAGAAACTCCTGGTTATAGTTTCAGGAAACAAGAGACAAAACTAGTTTTATCAAATAAAATTGAATTCAACTCAATACAGTTCAAAAAGTGTTTACTAAAACCCTGGTATGGGCTATTCTTGCAAAACGCATGAATTCTTCCTGCCCTCCACCCTAGCTTTTCTTTCTTGGCATCTGTGGAAGGCCAGAGGAAAGTCAGTCCAGCTGGCACTGGAAATCTTGAAATATAGGAAGCTACAGCAGTTCTCCTTTTATGATACTTATACTGTATTAGAAGAAAAAGCCCACAGAAGAGCAAAAAAGGCTGCCACAGAATTTCCCTTACTAGGCTAGACCTGACTAAGCAGGCAAGCATTTCCCTTGAACGTATTTTAAAGGCAAATCTGTTTTCCTGTGGAGAAAATAGATACTCATTTTCTTCTCATAAAAACAGATATTCATTTTCTTCTCAAAAAAAAAAGAAACAAGGTGTCATCCAAAAGTATGCTGATGTCAATTCTGCTAGTGCATTTTATTTAGTTTAATCCCGATTTCACCTGTGGCAGCAAAATTGCAAAAGGGGGAAAAGAATGTTTTCACCATACAAAATTGCCACATTACAAAATTGCTAGTGAACATCACTTTCAAAATAATTTTTGTCGATTTTTATTTTTTTTTTTCCAAAATGAAGCTTTAAGATTCTTTATTTCCGTGATGGAAGGACGTTGGGTACTGCTTTATCATTTAAGATGGAGTGAAATCACAGGTTTGGGAAATGCTTGGCAATATTTATCGAAAGGGTTGCCCATCTTACCCCTCCTCACTCACGGAAAGAAGAGCTTGACACTCAGTCAACATTTAGGGAGCTGCTATTTTGTTTCTGTTGATTTTTCATTGCCCTGATGTCCCTTGGTTTGTTTTTCAGTTGTACATAGAAAGTCCTGGGTATCTCAGGAATTGTCCCAGAAACAGTGTATTGCTGTCTGTGTTGTAATGACAGTTTTTCATTGTGCTGCTTTGTTTCTTAAAATTATTTACCACCTCACCAGCTGATGGATGTTTGGACTGTTTCCAATTGTTTGCTATTCTAAACAAAGCTGTGACGAACACTTGTACACACGGAGAATGAGGAAGGCAATGGGCGGGGGGGGGGACTGGCTTTGGGAGAGACCGATGGTGTACTTCCCAGGTAGGTAGAAATGTAAACACAATGCATGCAATCAGGCAGATTCAAGGTGTGACTCAGGACAAAGATAGACCAGTACATGCGGCTTGGTTTGGGGGATGTTGCTATATAGCCAGTCAATAGGGTGTCCTTCTTCTACCCAGCTGCCAAGGCTCTCGATGATCCTCTGGGGAGACAGGAAGGCTGAGCAAGCAGCCATCTCTTCTTTCTGTTGCTAGCACGTGCCTTGACTTCTTGGAGAAAAAAATATCACAGTAGACTGGCGTCTTGGGCTGGACTCCCTGGCAAAGACTCTGAGACAGAGAATTGCAGACAGAAGGTTGACTGGGGCATGTTCTCAGAAGATGCACCTGTGAAAAGAAAGATGGTCAGAATCAGGGAGGAAATGAATGACCCTCACTCAGTTGCTGCTGCTGCCTCAGCTGATCCTACAGGGAGTGCGGGGGTTGGGATGACGTCTGGGAGTTGGCAGGCCGTGGGCTCCAGCTGAGGGCAAGTCGCCACGAGAAACGCATCTGCTCGAGGAAATGCCTCGTTGGGCCTGAAGAGGGGATGTGGGTGGGCATCTTAGCTCAGCCTTTTGTCCATGTGGACACTGAAAAGGCAAGCATTTGGGGAAAGTGTAGTTTCCAGAGACACGTTTTGTTCCGTAGGTGGTCACTCACCCTTTCAAAACCATTGAGCTACAGATGAAGAAGAAGGGATTCAAGATGGAGGTGGGACAATACATTTTTGTCAAGTGCCCCAAGGTGTCCAGGCTGGAGTGGCACCCTTTCACACTGACCTCCGCCCCTGAGGAAGACTTCTTTAGCATCCATATTCGTATCGTTGGGGACTGGACGGAAGGACTTTTCAATGCTTGTGGCTGTGATAAGCAGGAGTTTCAGGATGCTTGGAAACTACCTAAGTAAGTGCAAAGCGCATATTTACAGAAGTGTACGAGTTCAGGAAAAATGTCACCAAATACTCCCCTTTTCCCATCTCTCACTGCACTGTCTCCTTGTGTGCAAACACACAAGTTCTACAAATATAGGTAGCTATCTCGGTGTTCCCCATTTTATGTATGTGGTACGTTTAGGCATATACTAATAAATCTTGTGTGAAGTATAAAGTATTTGAATCAAATATTAATAATGAATATTCCCAAATTCCTTTAAATACGTAAGGGTCAAGGCCAAGGTGTATTAACTTTTCTTTTTTTTTTTTTAAAGATTTTTTTTTTTTTATTTGAGAGAGAGAATGAGAGAGAGAGAGCACATGAGAGGGGGGAGGATCAGAGGGAGAAGCAGACTCCCTGCCAAGCAGGGAGCCCGATGCGGGACTCGATCCCGGGACTCCAGGATCATGACCTGAGCCGAAGGCAGTCGCTTAACCAACTGAGCCACCCAGGCGCCCGGTGTATTAACTTTTCTAACAAACAAAGTTATAGTGTATCAAAGATATTCTTAAAATTTAATTGACATATGTCATTTGAGGGCAAAGGCCAAAAATTATTCGCTTTGCCCCCTTCTTCCCACATGTTTGAGATGGTGCCAGGCACTTAGGAGATGCTAAAGAAAAGCTTATTGATTAACTCAATGAACAAATGAAAAGTGAAGATATTAAATTTACAAGATGCTATGACAGAAAATTCTCACTTTCCTTCAGTGTGCAATGTGAGCAGGAATTTCAACTGTGGGATGCCCTGGCAAGAGGTACAGGTGTATGTGTGTGTGTGTGTGTGAGTGTGTGTGTGAGTGTGTGTGGTAGGTGAAAGGGTGGAGAGATGAAAAAAGTACCCCCGAGAGTTACCAAATGTTTTCAGTTAGCTAAAACTTCCTCTTCTTACTTCCAACCACTATGTCAACACCCCGAGTGGGTTACTTGAAAGCTATTTCATAGAAGAAAGTGCCCCAGAGATACAGTGTCCCAGTTTGATGTGACATATTGCACGCCCCCAGTAATACGCTGTGCCCCATCCTACTCTGCAGTGCAAGGTAGCTCTCTAACCACCTCCTCGCACGCTTCCCTCCCTCCAGGATAGCTGTGGATGGGCCCTTTGGCACAGCCAGTGAAGATGTGTTCAGTTACGAGGTGGTGATGTTAGTGGGAGCAGGGATCGGGGTCACACCCTTTGCATCCATCCTCAAGTCCGTCTGGTATAAATATTGCAACAATGCCACCAATCTGAGGCTCCAAAAGGTAAGTCCCTTCGTTTTTTCAGGGAGCTTGCTTGGGGCTGAGTGAAGCGTGACAGAGCCTTCGGGGCAGAGACTGGGGGGGACCAAAGGAAGTGGAGACAAGTTCCTGGTGGTTTCAGAGAGACAGACTTCTCATAAAAGGGCTACCTGATAAGTCACATGTGCTTGTATATAAGCAGGTCTATTACTGCAAGTAGTATACTGCACTTGTATAGCGTTAGGAGAAATTGGGAAGAAAGGAAGTGGGGACAGAAAGTGTTGACAACCCCGACTCAGCAGCTGCCCTTTTTGTGGATTCTCTTCCAGTATTTTCTCATACTCTTTGAAAGTTGTAAATATTGAGTACATATACGTTCATGGCCTGCTTTCAAAAAAAACATAGTGTTTTTTCAGTGTTGTCACAGGCTTTATGATGATCCTTTTTAATGATTCCTTTATGTTCCATGGAGAGGATACAGAATAATTTTTCTATCATCCTTTATTAGATATTGAGATTGATTCCTTTTCCAGTCCCCCAGTACTTTTTTTTTTTTTTTTTGCAAGGAGAGGGCAGGAGACACGTCCTTTCATGAAACTTTTACTTACTTTCTTTTTTTAAAAAAAAAAAAAACTATTTTGTCATGTTAATCACCATACATTACATCATTAGTTTTTGATGTGGTGTTCCATGATTCATTGTTTGCGTATAACACCCAGTGCTCCATTCAATACATGCCCTACTCAATACCCATCACCGAGCTAACCCATCCCCCCACTCCCCTCCCCTCTAGAACCCTCAGTTTGTTTCTCAGAGTCCATAGTCTCTCAGGTTCATCTCCCCCTCCGATTTCCCCCCCTTCATTCTTCCCTTCCTGCTATCTTCCTTTTCTTTCTTTCTTTTTTTAACATATAATGTATTATTTGTTTCAGAGGTACAGATCTGTGATTCAACAGTCTTGCACAATTCACAGCGCTCACCAAACACACACCCTCCCCAGTGTCTATCACCCAGCCACCCCATCCCTCCCACCCCCCACCACTCCAGCAACCCTCAATTTGTTTCCTGAGATTAAGAATTCCTCGTATCAGTGAGATCATACGATACATGTCTTTCTCTGATTGACTTATTTCCCTCAGCATAGTATCTTATGGGTATCTCCTCAGAATTAATTCCCAGGGCATTTTTTGGTCACATGTAAATTTGGTTTCATTGCCCGATAAAGGACTTCTTGCATAAAACGTGAGTCATTCGAATAACTTTAGAGATAACCTCGAATAGAGACATTGAACATATGTTGACTTTTTATTCTCCCCTTTCTCTCTTTACTATATGGAGGAGGTATGGGGAGAGCGGCTTTTTTCCTGGCAACTCAGGAATGTCCAACATAGTAGGCAGCGAAGTAGTCCTGTGGTCGCCCCCTTAGCCTGGATCCCACTGGTCTTTCTGAGAGGAGGTACAAAGGAAGCCAGGGACCTGAGGTGGGCAAGAGCAGACCTGGAGGGAAAGTGGTATGCTAATGTTGTTTTCCTCAGCCATGCATTTCTGAGACCAAGCTCTTTATTTACTGCCCCACAGGGTGAAGGCCTGTGCAGGTTCATGTGAGCTGGTTTGTGAAATGTCCAGAGCTTTCTGAAAACCTGTTTCTAGGCGTTCTGAGCAGGAGGCAAAAGTTGGTGGGAGGGGAGGGTAGAAATCCATATGTCAATTCCCATGAGGCCCGTTTACATAGAATCTGTCTCCTGATCTGTTGTTCTTGCAGATATACTTCTACTGGCTGTGCCGGGACACACACGCCTTTGAGTGGTTTGCGGACTTGCTGCAGCTTCTAGAGACCCAGATGCAGGAGAGGAACAACGCCGGCTTCCTCAGCTATAACATCTATCTCACGGGCTGGGATGAGTCTCAGGTGAGGGCGAGATCCCAGCTCCCGGGTCCTCCCCACAGTGCCTGGGGCTGACTGACTACCCTTTGGTTATCGGAGTGTTTTGTGTACTGTTTTTACCAAGAACAGTTGATGGAATTGGGTGATCCGGCCCGTTCACTCTCACTCAGTGTCCCCACATGTTCAGACTCCTGAGACTAGATTCAAAGCTCGTATCTGTGGAACCTAAGGAGCCCACAAGGGAATAAGAGCCATGCCTTTGGCCTTATTAGAGTCATGCTCCTACCAGGGGTCTCGAACCAGCTGGACAAGACGATCCACAGGGTAATGGGAAGAAAATATTAGCTGCCTTTCTCCCTCTCTTTATGCCTCTCTCTCTATCTCTACCTCTATCTTTGTATCTCTACACACACACACACATTCCTTTAATTTTATGTTTATGTGTATTTTACAATATACACAATACATTTAGTAAGTAGTAATAATAACTGCTCATAGTTATTAAGCATATACCATGTGCTAGGTATTTTTATTAGTGTTTACATAGATTGTGTAATTCAGTCCTTTACAACAGCCCTATGAAGCAGCTACTATTATTATCCACCCTTTACTGATAAGAAAGCCAAAGCCCAGAACAGGTTGGGTCATTTGTCCAAGGGCACCCAACTAGTAAGAGGCAGGGGTAGAATGTTCCAGAGCCTGCACTCTTAGCAACTCCCACTAGTTCATGATTATCATTTATAAATAAATCAAAATGTATTTAATGAAAATGATATATGTGTGCATATGTGTATATGTATATAACATATACATATGTATGTATATGTGTGTGTAATATAACATAATGCATAATACATAACACATTATATGCACACACACACACAACCCTCCCTCCAGGGACATTTAACAATGAAAACATTCTACAATTTATAAGACAGCAACCCCCCCCCCCCCCAACAAAGAATTATCTGGCCTCAAACGTCAAAAGTGCTCAGACTGAGAAACTCTGAAACAAGTTAATGATTCCTAGGAGGTAAAACCTTTCCTTTTTTTTTTTTAAAGATTTTATTTATTTGAGAGAGAGCACAAGCCAAAGGGAGAGGCAGAGGGAGAAGCAGACTCCCTGCCAAGCAGGGAGCCCGATGGGGGGCTCAATCCCAGGACCCTGGGATCATGACCTGAGCCGAAGGCAGACGCTTAACCAACTGAGCCACCCAGGCGCCCCTAAAATCTTTCTAAATAAGCAAACATCAGTGATTTGGCCTGGAAGCAGCAGAAGCAGCATGGGCTCCCCCTGTGTGAGGAGCTAAGGCAGAAGCCTCTGCCTGCCCCTGGCTGGTGTCTCAGCTGTCCACAGCCACTCATTGCCTCCTCCACCCCGGGCATCTTTCACACACACCTTGGATTGTGAAAACTCACTCTTCTTTTGGGTTTTGGTGTACTGTTTATCATAGGTCCTCCAAGTCTTAGAAGAGTCTTATTGCATGTAGATACAGGAACCTATGACCATGAACATTGCTGCTCCAGAAAAAGGGATTTTAAGAGCCATTTCTGCAATTTAAATACAAAACAACAACAAATATTGATAAAAAATGAAACCCAGGAGGAAAAAAATCTATAAAATATAAATTACTTTGCAGTTTTATTATTTAAAAAGCCAGACACAGTTTTTTAAATGAGAAATTTATTTGCATTGAAAAATAACTGTTTGCTTTACAAAACTGGTCCCTACAGGATTATTAAACCACAGTGGTCACCCTTCTTAACCTCCTCCATCCCCATCATCCATCCCCTGGCCGGTGAATTTAAAATCTGATTCAAGTTTTAAATAAATTTAATTCACCACTTCTATGAAAAATATCTGTTGTTTGAACCGAGGTCCCCTAGAACGGTAGCAGAAAACAACCAGTGACTATGTATACACACCCACACACACACACAGACTAGCTTTAGGCTTGATTTGTTGTCTCATTATGTTGCCACTATATGAGTGCACTTTAATCTGTGGTTGTTTTAGTTCTTAGCGATTCTCCTGAAGGAGTGAGAGTCTAATAGGGTGAAGAGAGAAAGTTACATGTAGAACGGAGAGAAAAACAGTGAGACAGAATTTAAATCCTACCCACACCTTCAACGCCCGACGCCAAGTGTTGCCAACCTGCAATCTTCCCATATCCTCCCATCCCACTTCCCTCCCTTGCTCTCAGATATTTGTGCCTCTCCTGCGGCATTCATGATACCCTATTCTACAAATAGGATTATTCACGTTCACACTTCAAGGTCTGCCCTTCTAGATTATAAATTGCCCGAGGAGACCCAGTTTGTTCATCTTTGTATACCTTCTAGCCTTCAAATATATATATGGTTAGAATGGGTAGTGAGAGCTTGGCTTGTAAGATACGTAAAAATAGCTGTTTTTCTTACAGAATGTCTCTTTTTGTGAATTCATGTCCTTTCCCACAGGCCAATCACTTTGCTGTGCACCATGATGAGGAGAAAGATGTGATCACAGGCCTGAAACAAAAGACCTTGTATGGACGGCCCAACTGGGATAACGAATTCAAGACAATTGCAAGTCAACACCCAAAGTAAGGAGTCCCCCACCAAGGTGTTCTTGAGGCTCACGGTCTGCCCAAAGCGGCAGCTCCCAAACACAGCTAGATTTGTATATTCCAAAAACTAAAATACCTAGATTACTATATTCACACCCAATCAAAGGTTCTAGATACCTATGAATTTACGAGGGAGGCTTTAGATCACAGCAAAATTACCTGGAGAGTTATTATAAACAAAGATGCTCGGGGTGCCCCCCACTTCTGCCTTTCTGAACCCTGCTCCTCCCAAGTGGGGCCATAACTCAGTTCTTTTCTTTCAGTTCCTAAATCTCACTGGTGTATCTACTTCTTTTAATTCAATATGATTTAGACTTTTATCATTAAGGAGATACCGTCCCCACTTTCAGTTTTAGTTTTTGGGTCTAAAATCATAAGTTGCCAGACATCCTAAGTTCCTTTCTGCCTTCATTAAAGCTTTACCCATTCTGGAAGTTTGAGGGGATCCTTTCTCTTGCTAGAACACATCATAGACTCAAGAAATCACCACAAATATACCCTTCACGCCTCTGCTTTTTATCCTTTAATGAACATATGAATGACTTGGGGGTCCTTTCACAATGCAAATGCTGATTTAGTAGGTCTTGGGTGGGACCTAAGAATCTACATTCTTTTTTTTTTTTAAGATTTTATTTATTTTTATTTATTTGAGAGAGAGAGAGCGAGCATGATCAGGGGGAGGAGCAGAGGGAGAAGGAGAAGCAGACTCCCCACTGAGTGGGGCTCAATCCCAGGACCCTGAGATCATGACCTAAGCCGAAGGCAGAAGCTTAACTGACTGAGCCACCCAGGCGCCCTGAGAATCTACATTCTTAAAAAGCTGAGTAGGAGGCTACTGGTCTGGGACCACACCTTGAGGAACTAGGCTTTAAAACAGAGAGGGATCAAGCTCCACCCAGCTGTTGTCAGGGTCGGTGAACCAAAAGCAGATTTGTTCCTGATTTCTAGATGCTGGAAAGGGTTTGGGGATATAGAGCCCTGAAGGGAACTAGTCCACAGACTCACCACTTCACCACCATTTTCTCCATGGCAGAGGTTTCTATAAACTCTCCTTGAGGGCTATTTCCCAGGGAAGTCAATTGCCTTTTGCAGCTGTCCCCACAAACAGGGCTGAACCACTCTCCCACAGGGTAATCTGAACACTGCCCATAGTGGAAAAGACAAAGGAGCAGGGGGGGACTCTGCCCTAGAGCCTAAAATCAAGAGGAAATGCCCTCACATGCTTTGTAGTCTGTCTCATCCAAAAGCCTGACACTGTTTTATTTTTCCTTTCTTTCCCCCAAAGTACCAGAATAGGAGTTTTCCTCTGCGGACCTGAAGCCTTGGCTGAAACCCTCAGTAAACAGTGCATCTCCAACTCTGAGTCTGGCCCCCGGGGAGTGCATTTCATTTTCAACAAGGAAAACTTCTAACTGGTCTCTTCCCGCGAGATCAATGTGGGTTATGCTGCCAAGTACCTAACCCAATAATGCTAGTTGATCATGTAAATTCCCCCCTTACAAAAAGAGAGAAAATGAAACTATAAGGGGAAGGAAGGTTTTCCCCGAAATGAGTGTTAAAGATTGTTTGATAGTGATAATTTGCATTTGTATGGAACTTTATGGTTTTCAGAGCACTTTTACAAACTTGATTTCATGTTTTACTCACAATAATGCCAGAGAAAGGTAGGGCAAAGGTTCCTGGACTCAGTGTTTAGGATTTAAAAAAAAATAGGGACTCAAAATGGTGAGGTAACTTCCCGAAGATTATGAAGCGTGGACCAGATCTAGTCCATGCGGCCCCAGGTTTGGTGGTCTTTCTGTGATACCAGGCCACCTGGAAGTAGGTTCATATACTCCCCCCAAAAAGCAACAATCCAGGGAGTGGCCATTCATTTTCCATCTTGTGTTATCTTTGTTATCATTGTTGTCATAGTGAATGAACTCTTCCAAATATTTAGTAGATAATATATGCCGAGAAGGATTGAACACTTAAGAGGGACAGGATGGCCATCGGAGCAGTCTCCAGCTTAGCTTTGCTAATTAATGTATCACTCAGCATTTACAATGATGCTTGGCAGAGTGGATACTCGGTGAAAGTTTGTTGAATGAATGAATGAAAAGACATTTAGAACCATACAAGGCCCGGATAGAAATAATTTAAAGCCTTAAACTAAGAATTAGGCCAAGTATGTATCTGATATGCCCAGCTGCTTTAAATAGCATCTACCCCTTGTTTTATTTAAATACACACACAAAAATGGCTCTTATTTGTGTGACTACTGGTTTCTTGTTACATCATCATCATCATCATCATCATCATCAAATTTATGTCCTAGAAACCAAAATCCCCAGCTTACTGTGTAGGTATTGGATTCACACCCAGTAGAATGTTCTAGATATCCATGAGTTCAAGAGTCTCTAAATCACTGTTAGTGTGGCCAGAAACAGGGTTTTTTGTTTGTTTTTTGTTTCTTAGAACCACTCTTATTTCTGGAAACTAAAAATATCTTTATTTGCCCTACCCTGTGGAACCACAGATATTTAGAACTACTTAACTTTGGTAATGAGGAAGAAATGAGAAGAAAGCTGGGGGAAGGGCACAAGACTGGGTTAGGAGAAAAGGGGAGGGCAGGGGGAAAGAGAACAGGAGGCGAACGAGAGAAAGCAAAAAAGGCACAAGGGAAGGGGAGAGGTGGGGGTCTCACACTGGTCACTTTCCACCCCAGATTCCTTAGTCTTGTATGTATTGAAGGAGACTTACACATGCTCATTTTATGTTGATTACATGTGGTCTTGAATCTGAGATTCTGGCTGCAAATTTTGATGCTGGGTGGGCATATACAAAGGACCGGGATGCAGTAGTAAGAACTCGGTTGTTCTCTCAGGACATGCAGGTCACTGCGGGTTCCTCCTGACAAGTCAGGCTTGCCGTGGGCATGTTGTCTCCCCAGAACGTCCCAGCAAGGCTTTTACTCAGAGAGACTTAGGTCCGGCCTGTTCACACTGCACCCCAGGTATCAGTTCATTCATTCACCAAATTTTTATTGTGCTATTACTCTGACTCAGGCTCTGGTGCTCACAGTCTCAATTCTTTCCACCAGAGCGTGAGCGAGAGGGGGAACCACAGTTCTAGGCGGCTGAGAACCTTGGCCTTCTCTAACCTCTGTGGCATAAGTAAAACTGATTCATCTGTTGCTCTGAAAGTGTGTGTCCAGGGTTTTGTTTTTTTTTTTTTTTACCTTGATGCCAACATAGTTACCATAGCAGAGAGCCCTGCCCTGCCCTGTGTTACCCTGGTTATGAGATGAAAAATGAGTGTAAGAGTGCTCCTCATTACTCCATTCTTCTCCCAAGCCGCCGGCTTTCAACTGCCCGCAGAGTTCTTCTGGCTTCCAGGACTTAGCACTTAGTAACAGGTACTGAGAGCATGATAAAGCATCGCTTTTAATCTCAAGGCTCAGAAGGCTTTTCTTAGTTCCCCTGCTTTTGCAATATTGCATTTATGAAATCTGCATACTTGTAGCTGTTGTATTTGAATAGTTTGGGGGGGGCCTGGGGGACAATTCCTAGGAAGAACTAATAAAGCTGTGCTCGGCTATTAAAACAAATGAGCTCTCTTGGTGTCTGTGTTATTGATCTTCTTCGTATTAAAGGGTGGATTCACATAGCAGAGATGTGCTCTGCCCCAGTGGGGCTGAGATTGTCTGTGTTTTTGCATGTGATGAGCCGAACGTGTCATGATTTATGGGTTGGGAAGGGAAAACTGAGTACTGAGTCCATTGCTCATGGCCTGGTGATCCTCATGGCACTGGTAGGAGACAAGAGTGTCACCTCATGTTGGGGACAGAATCTCAGAGGCAAAGAAGCCCTAGTATGAGACCGTTTTTGGTTTTTTTTCCCCACTTCCACTCGTTTTGTAGGCTCTAACTTTGCAGTTAGGTGTCATCAAATCAGATTGTGAATATATACATATGCTCACGGTTCAGTCTTGGCCGTTGTTCTGAATGGGTCCATCAGTTCGGATCTGCACGGTCTAGGAAATGGGTAGACGTGTGGGCATGTGTTCTTCTCGGGGGGTCGGCCACAGGGGGAGAGGACAGCACCTGAAACAAATGTCAGTAAGAGAAATAGCTAACATTTAGCAAAACACCTTCGGCTAAGCCAAACATTCTACATACACTTCGGCTAATCCCTTAGGACACTGCAAGGTAGCCATTTTATCCCAATTTTGTTGATAAAAATTGAGGCTGAGGGACAGAGGACAAACGACCGGCACAAGCCATCTCACAACTAGTGTGTAACTGTGTCAACATTGATGCACACCTTTCTGGTGAAAAAGTCCATGTTCTTTATACTACACTAGCAGATTAGTCAAGGTATAAGTAACCAAGGATATTTTCAAAGCTGTTGTGCTAGGCACAGATTATGCACTAAGAACAGCTGGGTAACAGTGGCGGTATAAATCTCTGGTTTATGCCATCTAAATATCTTGGTATCTCTCCCTCTGCCTCTCCCCCTGCTTGTGCTCTCCCTGTCTCTGTCTCTCTCTCTCAAATGAATAAATAACATCTTTTAAAAAAATATCGTGGTATCTTAGTTTAGAAACGCTGGTTAACCCAATTCATGCTCATTTTTACTTTCATTTATTTATATTTATAAATAAATATAAATTTAATATAAATATAATTTATAATTATATAATTTTAAATTATATATATAAATATAATTATATAATTATAAATAAATATAAATTATTTATAATGTTTCTTCAGTTTTATTGAGGTATAATTGACCAATAAAATTGTAAGATATTTAAAGCATTACAACGTGATCATTCACCAAATAATGTTTTTCCAAAGAACAACTTTTACCTATATAACCACAAGGCAATGAACAAATCCAAGAAATTTAACACTGATACAGAACTATTATTTACTCTATCGTCTATGTACAGGTGACTTTGTGTCCTCAGTGCATTGCATTAGGGGGTAGGTACTCTCAGTTTGTCCTGTTATTGGCGGTTTTAAGTTTGATCACCAGATTTCTCTGTTATAAATGTAAAAGCTTCATTTTACTTTTGTAAATAGTAAGTCACATTTGGGACTTACTACTCTGGGATGGTACGAATCTCATTTTCTCCAATAGCCTTTTACCCAGTCATTTTGGCATACATTAATGAAATTCCGCCGAATCAATTTCAATGGTGGTTACAAAAGATCTGGATTCCTAAACCTCAATAATCTGTACAATGGACAAAGGGTTGATTTAATACTTTTATATATTGCAAAATGATTACCACTATATCATTAGCTAACATTTCTGTCCTGTCCCTTAATTACCATTGATTTTTGGGGGGTGAGAACATTTAAGATTTAGTCTCTTAGCAACATTCAAGTATATAATACAGGATTAGCCATAATCCCATTCTGTACCTTAGATCCCCAGAACTTGTTCATCTCGTAACTGTAAATTTGTATATACTTTGACCAATATCCCTCAATGTCCCCCACACCCCAGTACCTGGTAACCACTCTGTTTCTCTGGGTTCAACTTTTATAGATTCCACATATATGTGAGATCATACAGTGTTTGTCTTTCTTTGTCTGATTTATTTCACTTAGCATTATGCCCTCAAGTTTCATCCAGGTTGTCGCAAATGACAGAATTTCCTTCTTTCCCATGGCTGAATAATATTCCGTTGTATAATTATAAATCATCTTCTTTATCCATTCACCTGTTGTTGGGCACTTAGATTGTTCCACATCTCGGCTCTTGTGAAATAATGCTGCAGTGAACATGGGAGTGCAGACATCTCTATGAGATCTAATTTCAATTTTTTTGGATACATACCCAGAAGTGGGACTGCCGGATCATAGGGTAGTTCTATTTTTAATTTTTAATTTTTTGAGGAAACTGCATATTGTTTTCCATAGTGGCTGCACCAATTTACATTTCCACCAACACCGCACAAGGGGTCCCTTTTCTCCACATTCTTGCCAACACTTGTTATCTCTTATCTTTTTGATACTAGCCATTCTAACAGGTGTGAGATGACATCTCATTGTGATTTTGGTTTGCATTTCCCTGATGATGAGTGATGTTGAGCACCTTTTCATGTACCTGTTGGCCATTTGTATGTCTTCGTTGGAAAGTTGTCTATTCCTCTGCCCAATTTTTAGTTGGATTGCTTGATTATGCTATTGAGTTGTAGGAGTTCTATGTTTTGGAGTATGATTTGCAAACATTTTACCCCGTTCGGTAGCTTGCTTTCTCATTTTGTTTGTTGTTTCCTTCACTGTGTAGAAGCTTTTTGGTTTGATGTAGTCCTACTTATTAATTTTTGCTTTTGTTGTTTGTGGTTTTGGTGTCATTTCCAGGAAATCACTGCCAAGACCAATGTCAAGGAATTTTCTTCTTAGGTTTTCCTGTGGGAGTTTTCTGGTTTCAGGTCTTATGTTTAAGTCTTTAATCCATTTCAAGTTCATCTTTGCGAGTAGTGTAATATAGAA